CCCTGGTACACAGTACCCTGAGCTCACACATGTGCAGCCCAGAAGTGCAGAATGAAACTATGGGTGATAGCATTCCATGGAAACATGCTTCCTTATCTTCCCCCGAATGCCTAGTCATTTCATAAGGTTCAAACAACCAGTTACCAGTGGTAGGGGCTAACTTGTATAACTTTTCTCCTCAGTCTCTCTGCCCCTTACCCCTGCTCCCTGGAACCACACACCTCAGTGAGTCCTTACACACAAGCCTCTGGCTTGGGCTCTGCTTTCTGGGGGACCCAGGCTAAGCTAAGCTAAACTAAAAATCATAGTGGTCACCTGGGCACGGGTGTCCAGTTAGCCCTAGTGCTCACCAGGATGGGGTACACAAAGAGACACTTTGGTTCCTCAAAAGGAAAACAACTTGACCGTCACGTTGTGGTCTCCAGGCAGGAAAAAGTGACAGCAGTTCCCACTGCAGCACTCTGATGGGCAGGAGGGCCCATGTTCCATGGCCATCCCATGTTCCATGGCTGTCCCGTGCTCTTGAGATAAGCCATAATGAGAGTAGAGGGCCAGGGATCCAGACTGACGTGCCCCACCCCTCTACAATGCACATGGGCATGCGTGCACACATGCAGAGGCTCACCCCTTAATGAACTGCTATGCTCTCTAACATGGTAGCCACCAGCCACATGTGGTCATTTAAATATAAATTTAAATTAATTAAAAGATTCAGTTCCTCAGTCGCACTAGCCACTGAAGAACTGAGCCAGTGAGTCACTACTTCAAGTGCTCAACAGCCACATGTGGCCAGAGGCCCGCCACTGGACAGTGTAAAAGAGACCAGAGCATCGTGGTGGAAAGGAGAGTGGTATTGGAAGGAAGCACTGGTCTAGTCACCACTCTGGGTTTTAGTCAATTAGCTGGTACGAAAACACTGAACTTTCAACTCATCTCCCAGTGGAATCTAGGGTCAATTTTATTTATGCAGAACCATAAAAGAGATGTGACAGCATTTGTCCCCTGAGTTGGTGATTAAGCAGTTTATATGCAGTAATTTGAGCAGCAATGGCTATCTGGATGCTAAAGGCACAGGAGTCCCCGATCTTTATTTAAAAAATAGACCCTACTTTTAAAAGCCAAGCAGACAGGCAGACATACAGACACACAGACACACAGACACACACACACACACACACACACACACACAGGTATTTAATTCCCATATGCTTAGGTTCAGAACACCCAGAAAATAGCTGGTCAACACAACTGCCTACGAGATTAACCTTTCCAAAAACTACAAAAATAATGAAAGGATGATTATAGAAGCTCATTAATTAATTATATAATACCTAAATTTTACCTCCTATGGATATCACTTATCTAAAATCAACTTGGGTTCCCTTCAAAATGGAGGGTAGAAACTATACTGGAATAGAAACTGGAAAATTCGGTGTTAAGCCTCTTCACCATCACATGGAAGGCACTGGCCTTGAACTGAAAATCTTCATTGCAAACACCAGGATATCATCAGATTTCCAGTATTCTAGAGGGCAGTTAATATGCTTCCAGAGTCTCTTGGTATTACTGTTGGTGTCCTAGAGGACTACGAATCATTACGTTAGGCAATTTATAGATGGCATAATCATATGTGACTTTTAGTACTTTATAAACACTGCTTTTATAACTAAATACAGTGGGATGAGACAATTGAACCACTTTTTAAGTTCTTGGTTGGGGTTGGTTCCTGTGGTGCCCAGTGTAGTGTCCTGCCTGGTTGGACATTTCCCCTCCCGCCACTCAAGTGGAGGAATTAGTTCCTCGAGTACTAAGCCCTCTCTTCTGTTTTTTTTTTTTTTTTTTTTTTTTTTTTTTTTTGAGATGGAGTCTCGCTCTGTTGCCCAGGTGCAATTTTGGCTCACTGCAACCTCTGCTTCCTGGGTTCAACAGTTTATCCTGCCTCAGCCTCCTGAGTAGCTGGGATTACAGGTGCATGTCACCATGCCTGGTTAATTTTTGTATTTTTAGTAGAGACGAGGTTTCACCATGTTAGTCAGGCTGGTCTCGAACTCCTGACCTCATGATCCACTCGCTTCAGCCTCCCAAAGTGCTGGGATTACAGGCGTGAGTCACTGCGCCCTGCCTCTTCTGCTTTTATCTCCTTACTTTTCCCAAGTGATCTTATCAGCAACTGGGGTTTCATTTACCAAATATAAGTTGGTAACCCCCAGTAATAATAAGGGTTCCTGTTTACGAGGTATTTACTGTGTGCTAGGCCCTGTGTTTCACATGCATTTGCCCAGTCAGCAGTTCTAACAATCTTCCCTGAAAGGCAGAAACAGCCCATAGCTCCTCCCAACAGTCCCTTGGATGCCCATGTCTTGGGTATCTTAAACTCTGCACTTTCACAACCTACCTTACCTTCCCCACAAATCTGCCTCTGCTTTTTGTACAGAAAATCACCAGCCATGACCTGGACCTGGACCGGTCCCTCTTATTGACTCCCCACTTCCAATGAATTTCCAAGTTCTAGTCTTTCTACTTCCTAAATATCCCTCCCTCCCACCCATACTTCCACCATCCTAGACAAAGCTTCCACCATTTCTGGCCTGGAATCCTATAACAGCTGCCCAACTCAGCTCCTTGCATCCAGTCTTACTTCTCTTTAACTTCATTTATTCTAAGGTCATTGCTGTCTGTCTTTGAGAATCTGGAAAATGGGGATAATGGGGTCTCCCTTATCGTCATAGGTCTGCTTGAGTCAAATAGAACATATGGCTTTCTAAGTGGCAGGTACTTGATAATAAATTGCACAGATGACATGTGAATTGAGAAAATTTGATGGTAGAGCCTACATGTGTAACCACCACCATAAATGCCCAGGTTAGCCCACCACTGTTAGAAAAGCCATTAGGAAAAAGGGATAAGAGAAAGAATATAGAGGTAAAAGGGTTTTAGAATGGAAATATAAGCATACTTAAATTACTCTAAAACTTAGCACCTTCAAAATACATACATTTATTATCTCACAGCTTCTGTGGCACAGCTTGGCTGGGTGCTTTTGGCTCGAGGTCCTTCATGAGGCTGTAATCAAACTGTCAGGCAGAGTTGCAGTCTCATCTGAAGGCTCGACTGGGGTTGAGGGTCTTCAAAGCTCACTCATGTGGTTCTTGGCAGCCTTTTGTCCTTGTCACGTAAGCCTTTGCACAGGGCTGCTTCATGACATGGAAGCTGGCTTTGCCTACCATCTCTCAGACAGTAAGAGAGAGCTTTCACAATAGGAGCCACAATCTTTTAATGACCTAGTCTCAGAGTGCTCCCATCACTCCCATCACTGCTGTCATTCATTAGAATTGAGTTGCTAAATGCAGCCCATATTCAAGGAGATGAATTATACATAGGCAGAGAGCAGTGGGGGCCATCCCACAGGCTGCCTACCATGACCAGCCAAGCAGACATCACAGCTTGGGAGGGAGGTGGGAGGGGCTGAGGAAGGAATGGGCTCTTTCAGCGCCTCTCTCAGGCCTTTGACACAGACTCTGCTCATCACAGTCGAACTGACTGTGAGTCACCCATCCTACTGCTTGCTCATCAGTGGACACTCTAGTTACAGCCTCCTCGTCTCTGCAATCTCTCTGTCACCATGCAGGATAAGGGGATAGCCCACTCATTCCTGGGGGCTGCTGCGTACCTGACTTTTTACATAATTCTAACATAGATTAGCTTTATAGTAGCTTCTAGCTCTACTGTCAAATGCAAATCCACATCAGAAAATATAATGATAAATAAAATCTAAGTACTATCACAAAGTTCTAAAAACTAAAGCAACTCAAGTTGTTTTTAAAACAACTAAATCTCTATTGAAGGATTTTTAAAATGGTATACAATCATGAAAATAATTGTTTTGTGATATCACGTGTATATTTCTCAGAACTACTTTTATTGTAATTCAATTTACTGTTATGACAGACAGAGAAAGCGTTACGGGTTGAATCGTGTCTCCCTCCAAAAGATAAGCTGGAGTCCTAAAACCTCGGATTGTGACCTTCCTTGGAAACTGGGTCTTTACAGAGGTAATTAAGTTAAATGAGGTCATGAGGGTTAGCACTAAGCCAATATGACTAGAGACTGTGTAAAAATAAGAAGTTTGGACACAGAAACACACACACACATAAAACTAGGGTGATGTGAATATAAACATGGAGAAGACAGCCATCTAGAAGCCAATGAGAGAGGCCTGGAACAGATCCTTCCCTCACAGCACTCAGAAGCAACCAGCCCTGCCGACACCTTGATCTTGGACTTCCAGCCTCCAGAACTGTGAGAAAATAAATATCTGCTGTTTAAACCAACCAAGCTGTGATTGTTTGTTACAATAGCCCTGTAAAACTAATACAGAGGGAAGAAAAAAAGAGGGAGTTTCAGACAGAGACAGAAACAAAGAGAGAAGGAAAAAGACTTATTTTAACAGGCTATATCTTCATCTAGATGAGTGATTCTAAAGACAAACATATAAGGGCCTATTCTTTATTTTTTTACATTGAGACAGGGTCTTGCTCTGTCACCCAGGCTGAAGTGCAGTGGTGCAATCAGAGGTCACTGCAGCCTTGACCTCCCAGGCTCAAATGATCCTCCCACCTCAGCCTCCCAGGTAGCTGGGACTATAGGTGCAGGCCACCATGCCTGGGTTATTTTTGTATTTTTTTGTATTGATGGGGTTTCTTTGTGTTGCCCAGGCTGGTCTCGAACTCCTGGCCTCAAGCATCCTTCTGCTTCGGCCTCCCAAAGTACTGGGATTACAGGCATAAGCCACTGGCCCTGGCCCAGGCCTACTCTTTAAACCTCATTTAGCACATGTATTGGACACAATGGCTCCACTCCTAGAGGCTGACATAAATTTCTAAGAGATGCACAAATAAAACACAATTCCAGTTGAAAAGCAGCAGACTCCCCTCTAAAATCAGAACCTGGCCCTAGTCATGGCAGCCCAAGCCAGGGGCCAGGAGCCCAGCAACCCCTACCTTTTGGTAGTCCTCTTTGGAGCTCAGGGCCGCCTCCATTTGCTTGGCGGAAGTCGGGTAGATGGCCGAGCGGTACTGAGTGCCATGGTCGTTCCCCTGGCGCATACCTGGGAAAGCGGAAAACAGAGAGGGTTACCTGGTCGCCAGGCAACAGTGCCAGCGTCAAACTGGGCACAATGCTGAGGCATTTTAACACTTTTCATATGGTCCCTGTGCCTGATGTCTTGCTAAGTGCTTGTTTTAATTTTTTGTTTGCAGCATTTTCTTTAAACAAGCATGAAATGTATCTGTTTTGATTTGCCTGTTTTAATTACAACAAATACGTTTGAACTCAGGTAGATTTATCACAGGTCTTGGATCACACTAGATGTTCTATGAATACACACTTTTACGTGAAATATTTAAACAACGATCTACTCCAATTGTCACATGTAACGCACTATGATACATATTATTTCCTTGGGTCCTAAGGAGACACCTGTGTGGAAGGTTTCATCATCCCTCCCTTGGTGGATGAGGAAATGAGACAATGTCTGTGTAAATTCCTGGCACAGTGCTTGGCACGTAGCAGGAGTCCTGCATCTACGACTAACGTCATCTACCCATCTAGTCTGCAACTTAAAGTCAGCAAAGATGATTTTCTGCCTGTCTCAGCAGCTGAAGGGTGGATGACGGTCAGTTTCTATCTGAGTGTGACAGTGCCCCAGAGTGAAGCAGCCGCAGGGTTGTCACAGATCCGCTATATGCCACCACGTTGTCGTGAAACTGAACCAGGGGGAATCGGACCCTGTAGCATGTTCCAGCTAGTCACATTTCTAATATACTCAGGGGAAACAGAGACCAGCAGGCATAAGCAAGTATTAGAGGGGTTACGGGAATATCTGTGCAGGTTAAAAAAAATGGAGGGGTTCAGAAAGGGAGTAAGTTCGTGTGATCAGTGGGGAAAGGGCCCATGTCTCAAAGGCTGTATCAAGGAAGCGACTTGTCTTGTCAGCAGGTGGGCGCCAAGGATGAAGGTAGAACAAAGGTAAGGATTGCGGAGCAATGTGGTGCCTTCAGGGACTTGGAAGGAACTGGTACTGCTTGCAAAAGCAGCTGCAACCCAGGCAGCATCGGTGTCAAAGCCCTGATGCCAGCTTCTCAAGAGGATGAGCATGTTACCCTCAAGCCTGAAGCCCAGACGAGAAAGATGCTTCACTGGGAAAGATGACTGGACGCTCAACAGATTGAAAACCCAGAAGAAAGAAGCAACACCCAGGAGCGGCTGGGAATACCAGAAGTGGCCCTGCTTGTCTACCCATTGAATCACAAAACAAATGAAATATCCCACTGTCATAAATCGATCTAAACAGGCTTTATAATGCTGTTCTCCAGAGGGCAAGATTAACCAAAATTACATTTTGAGATAGGACAGAAAAATGTTATTGAATGATAGAATAACCCCTATGTGTCCTTCCTTTTTCTGCATGTAAATATGTTCTCCCCAGCAGAAAGAATTCATGTGTGCCGACTGTAGCCTCCACACTCTGGAGGCTACAGAAGAATTAGGTCATAATCCCTGGTCTCAAGGAATAACCAGGACGAGGGAGGGAGGGGGAAGAGTAGTCACGAGCCTGACACTGTACTTCCCTGCGCGAGGTCTTTGCCATCATTTCTTGTTTCATCCTCACATGCGCCCCGTGGAGAAGATATTCTTAACACTCTTTGACAAAAAGGAAATTACGGATCAGAGACATTCAGTGACCCACCTGAGGTCACACAGCAGGTAGATGGCCATCCTGCAATTTAAACTTTGATCACCCCGACACCAAAGCCCTTTCTCCTTCCAAAATGGATGCATGAGAAGTTACAGCAAAATAATCGAGGACAATGGAACAAAGTGCTTTTGGATGTGGAGTACCTGCCGGGGAGGGGGCATCCCAGCCCAAGGCCCAGAAATAAGAACAAGCTTGGAATGTTCTGAGGACTGTGAAGAGGCAGGACAAGGTCTGACAAGAGGCCTGGTGGGTCCTGAAGCTGGTGGGTTGGGCGTGTAACCACATAGGTATCTTGACAAGTCATGCTGGGGACCAGAGATGTGTGGAAAGATCAGACTCCCAGGAGCTACAGAATTCTCTGGAACCCTGAGTGAGCATAATCACCAACCAATGACCCAGGGCCCCCTTTCCCACAGATGCAACAAGTGTTGAAAAGTTCCCTGTGCCCTCCACTTGGCTTCGGAAAAACTAGGAGGAAAAATTATTGACACTATTTGGCTGTCTTCATGGACCAGGAAAGCAAGCAATGGGCTTTCAGTGTTGAGTGGAAAGAGAATTACTGGCTCAGAAACAACATCTTGTGCTTAAAATTCTTCCATAGTACTCTATAAGCTGTTTAATGAGGACTGGGCTTTGGGGCATTCTTGATGAGAACTGACCTCCTGGCATCTACCAACTGCTTGAGATTTCTCCATCCACTTTCTCCAAAGAAGATTTTTAAAGGGACAAGCAACCCTGAGACTGCTCTGAGGTTTCTCTCCCTCTCAGCAGAGCTGGAGGAAGCAGTGGAAAACAGAAACGCTTCATCTATAATGAAGCATAAGATGATGACTTCTCCTCTGCTCAGAGGGCCTCCTAAGCCTCAGCTCATCTTTGGGTTCCAATCCTGTTTTATCTATCCTGATTGGAGACGTGAGAAATGTGTCTGAACATGAGAACTTTAAAGGGAAGTTCATGCTATGAGTTGAACTGATATGCAGGAGTTACCAGCTGATAGTGAACATCAGGACAAGTCAGCTCCGACTCCTCAGGGTCTGAACTCGCTATCTCTATCTTAGCAAGCCTCGCGGGAGCAATCTCATTAGCAGGACTATCCATGCTGGTTGAAAATAGAGTGACTCCTACCAGCATGACCTTCACATTCTTCTCTTCTATAGACTGCTGCTAAGAGAAAACAGATCCTGCCTCCTGGTCTGCTGCGCCAAAGGCCACCTGCCTGCTGCAGTGGCACAGGAAGACCACCAGGGATGTTGGCATTGGTGGGAGAGCTCACCCAGGTGCTGCTTCAGGGTGGCCTCCTCGTTCTGCTGGAAAATAGGGTCTCCGTGAAACAACATGCCATAGTGTCCTCCCCCAGGTAGATAAGCCTGTGTCCCTCTCAGTGAAAGATGGCACTTCTTCTTCTTATCCAGGTGACCCTTCCTGGTGCACCTTGCCCTTACCTTAGGTGTTTGAGACAAGCCCTATGAATATAACCATCTCACTTTATCTGAGAGCTTAATCCTGTCCCTTTTAACTGACAGCTCATTTTTAATTTAAAACACTGAACAAATGAACGGACAGCCCTCCTTTCATCAAAAGGGAGGGAGGGAGGGAGGGAGTGAGGGGGAGAAGAGGAGGAGGAAGGAGAGAGAGGGAGAGGGATCATCAAAGTAGCTAACAATCCTAGAGTCCTCACTATGTCCAGGCACTGTCCTTTACTACCTTATTCATCCAATTCTGCAAATACTTGGAGCACATTAGCAAACCCATTTCCCGGCCCCTTCCCACTGCCAAGGTGAAACTGACCCTCTCAAAGGTGAAACTGACACTCAGAGAGAGGCTGGCTGCCTGCTGAATGCCAGTGCTGCATCTGGAACCATCTAACTCCAAAGTCCATGATCTTAACCACTATTATTTCCATTTGTAAATATATATAATTTAGGTAAAAAATTAAGTGGAATATAGGGATCTATGAAAGATATTACGTGGCTCTCTTTTAAAAGGAAAACAGCCACACAATACAGTCACTATCTATCATCTGCACAATGTTCTTTGCATTTTTTCATGCAGTGCATCTCAAGGGAGATGGAATAATGTTGCTTTATAACAGAGGTGCCAAATATTTATTCCATATCTAAAAGCAAAAAGAAAAATGAAAGATCCCAATTTTCAGTAAGGAGTACACATTATTTCTATAGCCATAAATTATTTTGAAAAGATGTGGTGATTTCTTCATAAAAGGTAAAAAGCTATCGTAGTGTGAGTTTTGTTTGTGTAAAAGAGAAATTCTATTTATGGCGGCCAAAGAAAATCTTTTTAATTATTATGTGTCCTAGAATGTCTTTTGGGACTCCATGTCTGTTTATGTTTTAAAATCCCAAGTTTGGCCAAATAATGAAAATATTAGAAAACTTTCAAAATAGTAAAATTTTTAGGTCATCATTACAAGTCCAAATATTAAAGTTTTACAGCCAAAGTGCCCCACTACATGAGATTTACAACATGCTTACACTGAAATCAGTACTAAGCACACATGTGCACACACATTTACAAACCAGTCCATCATGGATAGTGTTCATATTAGCAGAAGTAGCAATCGACATATTATACCTTTGTAGTTTCCAGATTCAATTACAGAAAAGTACATAAGACATAAATGTACAAAAGTACATAAAATGGACATGCACAGTTAAGTGCCTAATATTACTCTATCTATAATTATTGATTATAAAGTGAATACTCGTATCACTACCACTAACATCAAGAGAGTACAGCCAGTACCCTTGGGAGTCTTCCCTGTGTCTCTATTGATGACAATGCTTTCCCCCCTCTCTCTAGTTGTACCACACCTTGTTTTTGTAATAATTTCTTTAGCACATAGACACATTCAGAACAAAGTGAGTTTAGTTTGGCTTGTGATATGGTTTGACTGTGTCCCCTCCCAAATCTCATCTTGAGCTGTAGCTCCCATAATCCCCATGTGTCGTGGAAAAGACCTGGTGGGAGGTAACTGAATCATGGGGGGGGGTGGGTCTTTCCCATGCTGTTCTCATGATAGTGAATAAGTCTCACGAGATCTGATGGTTTTATACAGGTCAGTTCTCCTACACACACTCTCTTGTCTGCTACCATATAAGATGTGCCTTTGCTCCTCCTTCACCTTCAGCCATAATTGTGAGGCCTCCCCAGCCATGTGGAACTGTGGGTCCATTAAACCTCTTTTTCTTCATAAATTACCCAGTCTCAGGTATGTCTTTATTAGCAGAATGAGAACAGACTAATACAGCCTATTTTTAAAATTAATATAAGTGGAATTATACTATAGTTTGAATCTTTTACTTACAATTATGATCATGAGGCCTTTCCAT